GTGAACAAGACCCCAAGATACTTGAACTCCTCCACTTGAGGCAGGAACTCTCCACCAACCTGAAGGGAACAAGCCACCCTTTTCCGACTGAGAACCATGGCCTCGGATTTGGAGGTGCTGATTCTCATCCCAGCCACTTTACATTCGGTTGCAAACCGCCCCAGTGCACGCTGGAGGTCCTGGTTTGATGGGGCCAACAGGACAATGTCATCTGCAAAAAGCAGAGACGAGATCCTGTGGTCCCCAAACTGGACTCCCTCCGGCCCCTGGCTGCGCCTAGAAATTCTGTCCATAAAAATAATGAACAGAACCGGTGACAAAGGGCAGGGTTTGGCTTTTTTATTAGTATTTAACCACTGTGTATTCTGATTGTAGTTTTGGACTGAAGTTGGCAACAGATTTAAAAACATTAGCTCAGACAAATATTTAAAATCAGGATTGTTTCTCTTTGTTGTGGGCGCATTGGTTTAAAGCCATTAAACAATCACCCCTTTAAAGCCCCGTTTCACACAGCTATGAGACTAAAATGTTTATCAGTGTAACTTTTCTGAATAAATTAGTATCTCTTCACACCTGACCAAACAAAATTAAGCTCTACCAGTTGCACATTGGATTGTTTTCATTTGCATATGATGCTTCATTGTTTATGGATGAGGAAGGACTCACAGACGCACAAACACTCTTTGGACTGAGACTTAAGCAGCTGTTCTAGCATTCTACTCATGTTGCCTGGGTCACTGAGATAACAGTGTTGCTGCAAGTGATGGAGTTTGTGACTGCTGGTAAACAGCAAGCTGATAAGATGAACCCCCAGCACAATACCAGATTTCACCCTTGGTCTGATGCCAGTCTGGTTATTATGATGGTGGGTCCTGCAAGTCACGGAAGAACGTGGTCAGGATAGATTCCTTAACACCATGAAATAAACGGGTGAAATACACAGTTAATACAATTATTCAAATATATTTTATTGAATTTTCATCAACCCACCTAGACACCAACATCAAACTCAGCCTGTTGAAGCCTCAGATTAGATTTAGATATTCAGTTTAATTTTGTCCCGCATCACTTGCATTGAACGCGCACTAGGAACCAAACATTTAATGGCCAGTATGGATAGGAGGAATGATTACAGCAAGCTAAACTTGTTATAATGTTCAGTATGCACAGTACAGTATGGTCACCAAGCTGTTATAAGACTGGCTGGAAAAATGGTGAGCCTGTCTTTTAATGCTAAAAAAACACATAAATAATTTCTATATACCAGAATTGTCCCATAAAAGATTAATAAATATGACCTTTTACTAACCAAATAGAAAAAAGGGAGTGGCAGGGGAGCTGTCAAAAGCTGTGCGTCTTTGTACAGTTGCTGGCAACACTGAGCTCACCCTGCTGTTGACATGCTACAAAATTTATTTCACAGAAAAAAAATGCATAATGCACACCAAGCACCACTGCATTTTTGCTGTGTAGTTTTTTTAAATAAGCAGTCAGTGTACTGACATGAATGACTTTGCTTTACCTTGACATAGATATCTGATGATGTCATGTAGAGAGTTTGGAAAAATGTCTGATCTAAATGAGTTGGTCATTGAATTCTTTCTAACAGAATAGGTTAATGAAGCACAGTCACTAATAGGTCAGAGAGTGAACTATCCTTCTGAATCGTGCTCCTCTGTTAAGTAAAGGGTGTGGGATAAATCTATGTCCTGTGGTGTGGTGACATTTTGCCTGGCAGGTTTGTGTTGATATGCCAATTCCAAGTATCAATATTTCCCCATTTAATTATTAATCTTTTAACTGTGCATTGAGCATTATTCACTGCAGCTTTAAGTGTGAGTGATAACTGTCAAGACAGTGTTGCTGCCTAGATGATTTTGGCATTTCTGAGCCAGCTTGAAAGGTGGGAATTATGAACTTATCTAAGTTCCAGCTTGACTTAGCTGTTTATTTCCCAAGTTGAATTTTCTTGAACTATCGGCTTGAATTCACAGTCTTCTTTTGACAAAACTAATTGTTTCACAAACCAATCTAGAACTAATTTCTCATCACACTTCTGATTCTTTTTTTTATATTAGCAGCCTCCTTTGACCCTCAGCCCAAATGCCTTCAGAATGTTAAAGACATTGTAAAGTAGTGTAACTTGTTTGTGTGTTTGGGATACTCTCAGCTTAGGCTTACTAATGGAGGAGAGGACAGGCGGCATCTAAATGACGTGATTATCAGTGACACTGCCAGCTGTAATCAGGGCCATGGCACACAGCAAGAGATCCACAGAGAGGTGCTTTATGTCTGGATAGACAGGCGGTGCGAGGAAGCAGAGGTTTTATTTGTCTTTTATCTCCCTCTGTGGCAAAGCAGGAGGAGAAACACCAAGAGAGATAAAGGGGAGACTGAGAGACAAACAGGAGAAAGATGATAATCAAGGAATTATTTGTGTACGCATGGATGACTGTGACAGGTGTATGAGCCATAAAGACTGGTCACATGAGAGCTGTGTCATAACGACAAGTTGAAGTTTGAGGGACAGAAGAGAGGAACTAAGTTTTCATGGACATTTTGAAGCTGATGCTTTTAGAAGTTGAGCTAATCGTTGCATCATATGAACACGGAGAGAAAACTCAAAAGTTCTTTCCTGTTTCTGTACAGTGTGTAACCAGGAAGAAAGGTGAAGCCCAGAAGGGGTTTGTGGCTGTACAGTGAAGCCAAGAGGTGAATATTTTGTCAAGACAAGATGAGGGAGCTTGTGACTCTCGTTGCCTTTAGCCTGTTGTAGTGTTCTGTGGTGAATTTGATTAGATTCATAGATTAAAGGTTGGTTGATTGGTGTGTAGCTGTATTGCTCTTTGTGCAACTGATGTGCATGACTGCAACTTATTCCACTGTGTAAATAAGCACATCACCCCAGCATTTGATCCTGAGCCTGGGATGATGGGAGGGAGGAGGTGGCTGAAAGAGAGGAAGGGAGGTAGGGGGGAAAACTGTGGGTGGGGAGAATGGGTGAGGTCTGAGGGAGGCTCCTCTTCCAGGGTGACAGTGATCAGCACTGCAGCCTGAGAGAAACATCTTCTCTCCGTGCTTGTGTGGGTTTTCTCTGGGTGGTCTGGTTTCCTCCCACACTGCAAACACATGTTGACAATTAATCTAATCATACTGCAAATAAAAAAAAAGACATGCAAAATAATGCAGTTGTATTTTGTGAATACAAACTTAATATATAATAGAATATACAGGAAAACAGAGAAGGAAATAGGTAGTCAAGCAAAGAAAAAAAAATTTGTTCCCTTTCACTGATCGCATTCAGGTGGCCCATTGAAAAGCCTTAGCATTAGAATAAGTGTTTTTGTCTGTGTTTATTTGTGTCATTATACATGGAGAATGCACTGCTTAGGCTATTTTGTCAAAATACCAGAGTGCATGTGAAGGGAGAAGGTACAAATTGGTTTTATCGAAAGACACTCTGCTGTGGGAAGGAGGGAGGCTGGTCGTGCGTAAATGTAGGCAGTAAATTTAGCTTGTGTTTTGCTCTTCCTCCCGCTACTTAATCACCATAGGTCCCTGCCAGTGTTGCAGCCTAACATTTGCTGAAAGGTCAGACATGTCTGTCCTGCTTAGCTTGGACTAAGTACATCAGTCCATAGTGCAGCTTAAAGAGCAACAGAGACAGCTTGATGTCAGTCAGAGAGCCTGCAAACCTTTCATATAGCAATGGAGTCTGATAGCATTATTTTGAATCTGAATCTAATTGTGAATCAGCTTATCAAATCTGAATCCTTTCAAACATCCTGTCGAATTTGATCAAGTAATTTAGTTTTTATATTACTAAAGGAAAATGTAAACTGTTTTTTGTAACAAAATGTATAACTTGTCTAATACACAGTACACCATTTTAATTTTGATTTAAGGACCAATTACAGACAAGAGGACATGGACAATCTACTGTGCTGAAGGGTTGTTACTGCCAGTCAGTGAGATGGCACCATATGTTTTCCTCTATCAGCCTCAGAGATGAGACTGTATGACAATGTTGAGATTGTTGTCTTTACCAGTGTGTTGTTTGCTATGTGAATGACACATTTTTCTTTCAAACAAAAATAAAAAAAAACAGCTAAAAGGGGCTGACTTATTAGATTTTGTCTAACTGTTGTGCATATCCACATTAGTTCCACCCCAGGAAACTACAGTCGAAGAGGGTGAGAGGCTTTACACTAAGATTATCCAGAGAAACCTACACACTTTGCTCGGCTAATTTCCTGGACAGCAGAGCAGCTGTGTGGTCTCAGCTGTGATAATACACTCTGTTCTGAGGTGTGCAGTAATTTAACGCTGATTTATGATGTATTGTTCCTGATGGTGTGAACATGGTTGTTGATGTCCATGCTTTTTCATTTCTTACAACTCACTGAATTGCTGTTAAATACTGCACTTCTTTAAATCTAGTTGTGATTAAAATGGAGGAAGACAAATTTATTTGCATACAAGCTACCATTGATTAGAACAGCTTTTTAAAATGTTTTGTTCAGTCAACTTCTTGCTATAAAGATCTGGATTTAAGCTCCGGCTGCCTGGGTGTGTTTTTGTGTGGAGTTTGTGTGTTCTCCCTGTACCTGCATGGGTTTTCTTCGGGTACTTCAGCTTCCTCCCACAGTCCATAGACATACAGTTTAGGTTGACTGGCGACTCTAAATTGACTGTAGGAGTTAATGTGGGTGTGTGTGGTTGTCTGTCTCTAAGTGTCAGCCCTGTGATAGACCGGAGACCTGTCCAGGGTGGACCCCGCCTCTCACCCAGTGACAGCTAGGATTGACTCCAGCCCCCCTCAACCCTATTCAGGATAGGCGGTATAGATAGTGGGTGGATGAAACCTCTTGCTATGAGCTATAGGAGTCCTGCATGAAGACATTTTTTTTGCCAAAGGTTAAACATGACAGGTTTCTTTTTTGTTTTCTTGTTTTCACTGAATTCTTCTCACTACCAAGCAGGACAGCATGGTTTTTACTCAATTTTAAATTTGACTCACAAAGCAGTACACGCTGTTTGTGCCAACCTGAAGACTGGTATATTACATCCAGATTCAATCACTGCAAACAGTATCCTCATTGGCTCACCCTCAAAACTCCTCAATACACTCTGGTATGTCCAAAACTCTTCCGCCAATCTTCCTATTTTGTCTCGTACCATGACCACATTACCTCCATCCTGTATGACCTCCACTGGCTCTCTATCCCTCATCCAATTTGTCATCACATAATATGGCCATCACTCCCCTCACTCTCAAGAACTCTCTCCCAGTAAATGCTCTGGCCTCTTCTCCAAAAACAGCACTCAAAACACTTTTTATTTTTTTTTTAAAGCTGCGTGTCATTTCAGTTATTGAAAATCCAGTCAATAAAATTGCATTAGTTTTTGTTTTTGTAAGCCAGCTTTAGCTGACATTTACAAGAAGTGTACATCTCTTATTTTACATCATGAAACCAGAGGGATTGATGCACAGTACTGTATTTCACAGTGGACATACTGCACACATTGTTGTACAAGTTAACTCTGATAATGAAGTGTGTTTTGTTCAGACTATCAGTGTTTTAGAAGATAAATCAATCTTTGACAAACAAAGTTTGACTAGCAATAGCATTCATGCTCCATGTCTTCAATACATGTATCCACTGGATGCTACTAACACTTTTCATGATTGGCTTAATTTTTTTTTTTTTTTAATTTTAAAAAACAATGAAGAAATCTGCAGTGTGCCAACGTTTACTATTAATATCAGTTTATTAAAAAAAAACTACTTTGTTTACCCCTCATGCACATTCTGTCCACTTGATCTGCATAGTGTGTCTCTCCTTGATATCGTGCACGGTTCTCATGCACAAGGCAGCAAAGCTCTTTCTGACTGTGTGTGTGTGTGTGTGTGTGTGTGTGTGTGTGTGTGTGTGTGTGTGTGTGTGTGTGTGTGTGTGTGAGAGAGAGAGAACAACAAAAGACAACAGGTGGATTATGGGAGCAGACGAGAGCAGACAGAGACAGGTAGATTGGCTTTTGGTCAGTGAGAGATGAAAGCTGCCAACACTCAAAAGGTGGATGGTCTGTGTGAAGTGTGATGCCATTTCACTCAAGGGTGGCTGTCAGATGTTTTCTGTGCTCTGTGTTTTGGGGAAATCTGTGTTCTTTTGCAGAAAAAGCATTTCTTCCTCATTGAATGCTTCCACCAGTCCCCTCAGGAGGAGCTTCACTATAGCCAGCTAACAGCAGTGAAATATCCATGCAGTTGCAGCAGCCAAATCCCCCTTAGGCAAAGGCAAAGCATCATACATCCCTCCCCCACCTCTGCCCACCGACATGCTCCACAAACATATTCTGTGTAATGTTGAATTTTCACAAATCTGCCCTGTCAAGCTGCAAGCTTTGCAGACAGTCTCTGTGTCTCACTGCTTTTGAAGATCCCAGTCAGTCTGTTGCTACAGAAGTACGTGTGTGACATGTTTCTGTCTGAAGTCAATCTTTTCAAACATATGATGCCAGCTGCCTCTCCCTGTGCCACGTCTGCCAATCCTGTTTGCTAGCCAATCCTCCCTGCCACCCCGCATCCTCCATGTCCTTGTTTTGAAACTATAGATTATGTCCCACCATGTAAGAGTCATTTCACCCCCAAAGCCTGCTTGTCTGTGGCAGCTTTTTTGTAATTCCGTTCTTGTTAGTTAGATTGCACGGAGTATGAGGTCAAGGCTTGGTTATACTGCTGTCAGCCACTGTTTTGTAGTACTCTATGTCCTGTGGCTAGTTTCATACTGTCAGTGTTCAAGAAGGTTGAAGTGGGCGTGCGTAAAGGAGAGCACATCTGTAACTGGAGTAAAAATTTGTTAAAGCTCACATTTAAAACCACGATTTTTAATATAATAAAGGAGCAGCTTTAAATATTCGAATATGAAATAATATAAATACATAGCTGCTATTTGCAACTCCTAAGCCAAGAGGACAGATTATGAGACAACGGGCTCCTCAACAGACGGCCCACCCACCCCTCTTACTTGCATAGGGGCAGGACACTTGAACTGCTTCATTTTGTATGCATTTTGACTCATTTTGTGGTCGTTTTGAGTCATTTTATTGTTTTGCAGCTGTCTGTGGTTATTTTTGGGGCCTCTGCCACTTCACTGGTTAAGCAGCAAGCCAATTTCTGTCTGATCCCTGATTTCATTCCTCTTTTTTTGTTGCTCTGTGGTCATTTTGCATCACTCTCTGGTCATTGTGCATCTCTTTGCAGTTGTGTCTGGGCCTCCTGCCACACCTGGCCTTCCCTCTGGTCCCACCCCTAGTTTAGCAGCCATAGTGTGCCATTTTTCTGTCCGGTCCATTATTTCATTCCTCATCTTTTCTCTTTGTAAATGGTTTTCCATCCCTTTGTCCATCCCTTTCTTGTGGTCTGTTTCAGTCATCACTGTGTCCGATTTTGTATTGTCCTTCTTACTTGTCCTCATATTATTTTTTGTTTTTGCTCTGTCATTCTCTTTTTCGCTCAAGCTTTCCTTGTTTATTTCTGACCCTTGGTTCTTAGACTCAAAGAAGCTCAGTGTAGCAGATGGACCATTCCCTTGGGCTTCACAGCTGTTATTGGCATGTTGCACAGTTTCATCTTTAAAGTCATAACATTTATTCTTTTTCAATATGAAATCCAATTTCTTTTCAAACTAAATTGGACATTAGTCAACACTCCAGGTAAGCAATACCAGGGAGTGAGATTCATGCTGTAGAAATTATGTGGCTTCAGGCTTGCTATTATATCAATTTTCCACATATACACAATCTCACACACCAGCCACCCTCAACCAACATACCCCTCATCATAGTCCCTGCAGTTAAGTCCCTAAATTGTGCCACTCTAGCCAGGATATGCCTCTTGAAAATATAGTTGTCTGAGAAAATGTTTCTCTGGACATTTGATGGCCCATTTATATATTGAGTAGGATTGAAAATTTATTGAACTGGAGACTCATATGATGTCAGTAGACCATTAAATTTGTGTGAAAAGGCCTCGAATAGGAGCATACTGAACAACGGATCCAGGAAAAAATGTCTGTGTTCTGGCTCAGCTGAATGACTGAGGTCACTGTTCTTGAGATCATTTTGGTTTCTGAATAGTAAAAGCACACACAGAGCAGGGTTTTTTATGTGTCTTGGGCAAATCTGTGAAAGTTATAATGTCTCTTCATTCCTTCATTTCAGTCAGTGTTATACTTCCATTCTTCCTACAGGTATCCATTCCCAACAGTGTTCAGTACATGCAGTAAGAAGGACCTTGCTGCCAGTCTGGAGAAAGGTGTGGGCATGTGTTTGTACAACATGCCTGAGGTCAAGGTGCTCTATGGTGGACAGAAGTGTGGCAATGGCTATGTGGAGGAGGGAGAGGAGTGTGACTGCGGGGAGCCAGAGGTAAGGTTCAAAAGCAAATGCCTTCATCTGTATCTGCTCCTGTGGAGTGAATCCATGTCCGAAATGAATCATGTGGCAGAAAGGCCAAACCCGCCCTTTTCTAACTTGACACTTCCCCTACAAAACCCATTGTCTGAAAAATAATGGTAACTGTTCTGTAAGTAGTCATCCAGAACCACTGAAAGTGTCAACAGCTCACTCAGACCCTCTTTAAATAAACCACAACTCAACCTTCACTGACATTGTTTTGTGGCTTTTAAAAGCACTAAAAACGTGCTGTTTGAAAAAAGCTCAACAAATCGCCCCAGGCTCCAAGACAACGGTCATATTTACATCAAACTTGTGCTGACCAGGTCTCTAACAGCCTGCCTGTTCAACCGCTGTTCAACTTGGTGACAAAAGGAATAATGAACAGTGTAATCGGGCTGAGGCTGAAATAAGTTTTCTTTGGCTGTGCCACCCAAAAATGTAAGTGGACATGCTCTGATGCATGGATCCACTCATGCACACGTTTTGTCTCGATCACACGTACAGTACTGTGCCATGGGTATTGAAGTGAGAGTTGCATGTAGGAAGCAGGTGTGATTGTCACTTTGACCTGTGAAAGCAGTGGCCAGCACCAGCTGATATAAGCCTGCTAACATTATCTGAATGTAGAGGGAGAGAAAAAAGATCCTGTAAGATGTTAGTGCTGTATCAATTCCTGGTATGTTGCCAACTAGAAACAAGACCCAAAATGGAGCCAGCTTCCATCGCCCATTCCTAATCCTGATGAACTAGAGAACTGTTTCTGGAGAAAGACTTTACTTTCTGGAGTATGATAAGTCTTGTTTGTTCACTTTAAACCTAACTGACTCAGCAGCCTGTTTGATTATTTAGTCAAGTGATGTTATGACTGTATTTTCTATTATTTAGAAGCAACTGTGGGCTGTATTTTAGTGGAGTCAGCGTGTTTGACCACCGATGAACCAACTGTATAACATAAAGTACACGTGCCAACTCCATTTCTGCCAGCTTGCTCCCCGTAACCTCCACGGTGTCACCACAGAGGGTCTGCTTGTTTGATTTGCTGGCCCACTTAAACAGAGAGATGAAAGCAACATGTTCTCTCCTTTCCAAACAATGGGCCAAGAGACTCATAAAACCCTCTTTGAACACATCTTCTCATTACCTTAGAGCCTCACACGAGAAACAACCACGATGTGAGAAAATAAACGTTTGGAGTTGTTTTCTGTGTTATAGTATGATTCATGACACTACTTGGAAAACAAAGCTGATGTGTTTTGGCATCTAATAAAAGATAAACATCCCAACATCTCCCTGAAGTCTTTTACAACAGTACTCCCATTTCCCATATCCAATCTCCTCTTCTCTTTTTCCTGCAGCAGCCAACTGATCTTGTTGATGTGTGCTGAAGGGGCTACAATCTTTGCATGTAAAGGGCTTTGCAATCCTCCCACTCCTGTCCACAATTCTCTAGTAGCAAACTCTGCCACATCTTCCCACTATCTGCATGAAATCTCAATTGAAGATCTTAACACATCCCCTCCTGAATGTTACATCTGATCGCTATCTTTTATCTCCTCTGGCTCTCAGCCCTCACATTGCATTAAGCACATTCTGCTTTATACAAGTGCGGAGGTCTAGAGAATTCCCAAATCCTAAACACATGAACTTCATTAATGTCTTCACTCAAAGGTGTCCTATTCAGGATAAGTAAAATGGGAGTTGTCGCACTGGAAGTGATCTGACAGGAACCAACTGACAGAGCAGTGATCAGGTCCATGTATTAACTATTTTGTTTGCTTTCCATTATCCTAGGAATGTGTGAACCCATGCTGCAATGCTACCACGTGCACCCTCAAGGGAGATGTTGTGTGTGCTCATGGACAGTGCTGTGAAGACTGCAGGGTAGGACTTTTTGTGTAGGCCAGTTTAAATGCACTCGTACCATTCTAATAGCCAAAAATGTTAAACAGTTACTCATACTATTTTTAAAGCATTGCTCTTTCAGAGATCAATGCTTTTAAAAGGATCCAAGAAGGGAGGGGTCTAGAAGGACCGCTTTTTTCTTAGTATTTCATATGTATGTCCTCCCTTTGAAAAAAAAACATTTGTTGAAGATGATTAAATGCACTGCTCATGCGTCTGCTCAGACCTTCATTTGAGAGCAAATGAGTCCTTTTCTGTACTTTACACAAAAGCATGTTTGACCTCCATGGCAGGAGACATGCTGTGACATCAGTAATGTACAGTGTCCTACCTAAGCTAGAGCCTCGTGTCGTTTACTGTTTTTGTTGTACTGTATATACAGTCGCAAGAAAAAGTAATGACACTGTTTGCAATTTCCTGGTTTTCTGCATAAATTGTTCATGAAATGTGATCTGATTTTCACCAAAGTCTCAAATATCAACAAACACAATATTCCCAAGCTGATAAAACACAAATTATATAGTGATTAGATGTCTGAAAGGGTTTACTGTACTAAACTTCATGTGTGTACAGCTGAAACTGGCTGGCACCTTGTGTCGAGAATCGAGTAACTCCTGCGACCTGCCAGAGTTCTGTACTGGTGCCAGCCCTCACTGCCCAGCCAACGTTTATCTGCACGATGGACATGCCTGCCACAATGTCGAAGGCTACTGCTACAATGGTATCTGCCAGACACATGAGCAACAATGCATCACCCTGTGGGGAACAGGTAAATCTTTTGATAAAGATAAGTTGGACCATGTACATAGTTGTAAGTAATAAGGGAATCCCTTGTTTCATTTTGACAATTATCTTGTCTTTGTTTTGTTTTTGTGTGTAGGAGCCAAGCCTGCCCCTGGGATCTGCTTCGAGAGAGTCAACTCTGCAGGGGATCCTTATGGGAATTGTGGGAAGGACTCCAAAGGCTCCTTTGCCAAATGCGATGCAAGGTAAGACTCTGCAGCTGCACTGATGTGGTAGAGCTCCTGAGAAACTACTGTGCAAAACACAACTGATTAGCTTAAGTGGTGTCATTAGCAATCATCATCACGTTGTGCAATCTGACATGTGATCAGAAGTTTACATCGGTGAAAAATGTAATTTGAGACAGATAGGCACTAATTACAGGCTTAGAAAGTATTCATGAGTCATTTCATACTATTCTTGTCAGCTAATTGTTCTGAAGATCTTCTGAATTAAGCTCTTTGTTAATCGATGTAATTGCTTTAATGGCTTGAGAATTGAAGTGCTGCAGCTCTCTTCAGCTGTCTTTCATCTTCTACAGCTCCTTATCTCTGTCTGTGATTGACAGGCCTTTATGTTTTAGGCTTTTTAATGCTGTTTTACTCTATGTTTTTAATGCTTGCGTGTTGTATGCAGGGACGCAAAGTGTGGTAAAATTCAGTGTCAGGGAGGAGCCAACCGGCCAGTGATCGGGACAAATGCTGTGTCCATTGAAACCAACATCCCGCTACAAGAAGGAGGGCGTATTCTGTGTCGAGGAACACATGTTTACCTGGGTGATGACATGCCAGACCCTGGACTGGTTCTGGCTGGTACAAAGTGTGGAGATGGCATGGTGAGTATCAGTACAATATATTGTCCCATATTTTCTGCAAAAGGAAACGAGTAAGAATGAGCTAGTAAGATTGGGGGATGGGGATGCAAATTAAGGACATTTGGCTCTAAGGTGAAAAGTAGGATACCAGGAATGGTTAGCTGCGAAGATCTTGAGGCAACTTGCAAGATGAGATGAAAAAGTTTTACACTTAGGTAAATGGAATTGAAGCAGTAGAGTCCCAAATGAAATCAAAAAAGCACAGATGCCGCACTGCTATTTGAAAAAGTACGGTGCCAATGGAATCCTGTGTGTCTGCTGCCGCTACATCATCAGCTCCTGTGGCATCAAAGACTATACAGTTGCACTGTATCAAAAAAATTGTGTCCAATACCAGTCCTGCAGTAGTGATGAGACTATGAAAACCTGTTATTTTATTGCAGTAGGGGTGCCTGTCAATGTTTTTCCTTCTCTGTGCTGCCCTCTCTTACCATACCAGTGACATCAGGGCCATTTTCTACCAACAAGAGTCCTCCAGTCCGGATCACTTGCCTCCTTAATCATTTCTCTAGATGAGGTTGCAAGGTCTGCTCTCACTTCTATATTAATGGCTGTTGTGAGAGCAGATGATATTGGGATTAATTTTTAAAACAGATGGCACCAGTACAAGCTGGCTTCCCTGCCCAGAGTCTCAGTAATACAGAATTTGGAGTACCGTCTGGGCTCTATACTTTCTTTATGGCACCAGATGAGATGATGATGCCGATGAAGTTTAACCTCTGTGGTTGAGGGCTCTCCTAACTCTAGCATTTCTGGTTCTCTCTTGATATAAATAAATAAATCTACTTGTGCAAGATGCTTTGCATTCCCTGTAATACTGATGTTATTGTATAAGCTGTGACAACTGGCTCAGAGAATTGTGTTTTCCCCTTGGCAGTTTTCACAACTAGATGGTTGCATTTGCCAAACCTCTGCATCTACTGTATGACATTAACTTTTAAAAGCCCAGCCCTATGAAATGTGGCTGAAATTAGTAGCTTAGAAAATGTTAATGTAACCTCAAGGGACTTGCCCTTGGTGCAAAAAGGGCTTTGTACCCCTTTGAGCATCCTTTGTGTCCTAAATGGCAGCCTGCCATGCCAGCTTGTCTCTTGGCCCAAATCATGAGTTAGCTCTACACATTATCTGGAAATTGATGGCTTGAGAGTGGATCTTTGTCATGGGCCTTTGCTCTTCTCATTGTGGCTTTCTGTTTTCCATGCCAATCAGGGCATTAGGTTGGCACCATTTGTCCCATACAACAGTGACAAACTCAGAAAAATGGCTGCTCAAAACAGCTTTATTTTCTGCATAAAAGCACCAGCAGGCTTTTCCACTCTGATGTTTTTGTTGGTTTTAAAGGACACAGCATATTGCGCTGTATGTGTTTCCGCCTGATGTACTGCATTAAGGGTTGTGATTTGTGTGGTGCAGCTACCTGAGTGATGCACTGCATGTTTTCCCTGATGTGAGAAATGAAAATCACCCTAACACTGAAAGAAAAACTGTTCAGTTTGGTTTATATGTGTACCTATTTCAATTGTTTGTTTATAGATGGGCAAATTGCAACAGTAGTTTTTCACGTGAGTGGAGAACATACAGCTGGTATCGATCACAAACACACTACTTTAAGGTGCAGACACTAAACTTGTGTTGCACATACAAGACATACATTAGCCAAGTGCACCATAGAACTGTACACACCTTGACTATTTTTAGTGGCTTTCCAGTTTTGTACCCCTTAAAATTGCTCAGTGATGCTCTTCCCATTATAGGTGTGTCTGAATCGCCAGTGCCAGAATGTTAGTGTCTTTGGTGTGCATGAGTGCTCTGGGAAGTGCAATGGACGTGGGGTGAGTACAAAGGACCTATTAGCTTGGTATTTAGTGTTAAATTATGCACCATAGCCTGTGAAAGTGTTACAAGCCTGTTTATCTCTTTAGTCACTTTTTGACTTTTAATTGCATGCAGTAACAGAGCAACAGAGTATTTACAATGCAGCCTAAGAGTTATGGCAGCTGCTCCTGTTTTAAACTATCAGTCTTTATTGTTCAGCTGAGGTTAAATCAATCCTGTTTAACACCATCATTTATGGTCAGCTTTAAGTGTTGTCAGTCATCTTTTGACTGTACAGAGATGATACAGTGCAGCACTGCAGGGGGAGCCACAATAGTGGATTTGTCGCAGTATAAAAGTTGCTCTTCCTGCCAAGACATGTTCACCTTTCTCTCTTATCAATAATTCAACAGGCCACGCTTTTATGTTTTATTTACTTTGTTGTTTACTTCTGTGAATCAAGCACTTACCTGAGGCTGCGTTAGTTTTAAACTCTGATCTTTACTGTCAGTTATGGCACAGAGATTATATGTAATGAGAAATCAAAGCTGTGATTCTAACATTGTATATTCTTTAAACTTACAATCTTGTAACTGACCAAACACCCCTGAACCAAATTAGCCCATCAACAGACTCACTGCAACAAAAGTAATCACATAAAAAATGGCTTTGCAACAGAATTGGACTTGGAGAAAAATGGTTTCCCATTAAGAGTGTGGAGTTGAGGTGCATCTACCCTCCTGCAGAAACATCTGTCAAATCAATTTGGTCGACATTTTCTCAGACACCTCATACAGTACGAGACCTGACTGAGAAAGCAGCAATTTACCCTAAGAGTTTAAAGAATATTGCTTGTCTCCAAGTCTTCTCACTTCATCTCATTAGGCATGTGTTTTCTGTATTCAGGTATATTGGTATTTATATTTGTTGCTTTTTAAGCAGGTTAGAAGCATTTTTCAGCTTTCATACCTTCATATACCCATACCAACATGTGAACTGTGATCTTTTCTGACTGTACTGATATGACAAGCTGAAGATAGTCAGATTAATATAACGTTCAGTGACAGATTACCATTCCAACTGGTTATTTTTAGATGCTTCTTTTCCTTTTATATTTTGTGTTTCTTGAGTGTTAAATCACTAAGAGATACAGCAGATAATAGTGGCTATGCCTTTTAACAAAGTTAACTAATTGTATTTGCTCTGGTGTTTGTTCTTATTATATTAGAGTGCCATTTCTCTTCATAGACAGTTAAAACTCCTCCAAATCAAACCTCTCTCTGAGCCCCCAAGGCCTCTTAACCCCATCACCCAGTATCCATGGCCTGGAGGCAGGGAAAGCACTTGACTGTATGTCTGTGCTGAATGTAAATCCCCCACAGCTGCACCCCAACTCCTCCTCCAACTGACAGCTGGACTGTGTTACCTCACCAGGGAAAACTTCCTGGATCAGACTTCTGCACTGGAAATCTGATGCTTTACAGGATGGATACTCCATTGTACATGTTTTATCTATTATCACACACATTTGCACTTCTGCACGGACACACCCATATGCACAGTCAGTGTTCTCTTATCTTGAAATTAACTTAGACAAACTGAACCACAGTTTATTTATAAAAATAATCCATTTCACTTTATGCTTATTTATGAATAAAGCCTTTTGTGGAGTGTAGTGCATCATTTGTACTATATCTGGAGTTTAGCTGGTAGGATTGTGAATGCTGACGTATCAGTGGAATATACAGAAAAACTTGCTTGTTTGCAGGTGTGCAACAACAAGAAGAACTGCCACTGTGAAGCGCATTGGGCCCCTCCGTTCTGTGAGAAAGCTGGCTTTGGTGGGAGCATCGACAGTGGGCCAATCAGACTGGCAGGTAGTGAGGATGATTTCATTTCTCTCCTCACTCATGTAGACAGAGGAACAACAGCACTAAGCAAAAACAAGCTGCAGCAGCTGCACCCTGTACATTACTTTTTTTGTATTACTAGATTGATGCATGGTTTGGACTGGAGTACAACTTTTTAGAACTCCCTTTTCACCCAGTCACACAATACACTGTGCAGTCTGTAGGCTTAAAAGACAAAGAATAAATGTTTGTACTTAGTGAAGAACAGAAATGAACAGAGAAATGTGATTCACAAATTATTCTACTGAAGGTTGCCCGACTGTAACGGCCTTTGCGTTATGTCCTGTCATTGTTCTGTGCTGTAGATGTGCGCGTGTGTGTATTAATGTGCGTGTTGTCATATATGGCATCAGCCGACAGCATGGTCATTACTGTGGCAACAATGGTTACCCTGCTTGGCCTTCTGGTAGCCTCTATAATCATCTTTTTGAAGAGGAAGACTCTGGTGCGCCTCCTCTTCACCAACAAGAAAAGCACCTTGGAGAAACTCAGGTGACGTGTCTCTACACAAAGCAGAACAGAAAACCAGTTTGACAAAGTTTGATTTTGGCACGGTGACATTTTTGACATTTTGTAAGGCTGTTTAGACGGCAGCAAAAAAAAAACTATTGGTTTAACATCAAGTAAAGGGGAATATTATTATTTCGTGTACCTGGGCAGCTGTGCAAACATTTGGCAAACTAATTAAATGCTTGTTTTTTTGTGTAGAGAAAAGATTTTTCTTGTCCTGTCAGCCAGTTTGAGTGCAAACATTTCTTAACTTCCAAATGTGCAGTTTGTCTTATAGGATTGATTTATGATGCAAATATGAATAAAGCATCACCCTAGCACCACGTTTTTAAATGGTAACACTTGGATTTAAAGGTCCATAATTTCCTAACTGATATTTCTTTAATGACTTTCAAGATATAAGATATAAAGGAAAATAGAGATTGTGTTCAGTTTGTACACTTTCAGCTGTGACCAGTCAGGAATGTAATCGGTTTCCAGTATTAAACCATAAGAAGCAAATATTTTTCAAGGAAATTAATCTTTCCCCAATAATTAGTAGCAAATTACAAAGGACTTTTTAAGAAACCTCTTTGAAAGTCATTGGGAAATTACAGACAGAAAATAAAGCTTTACCAAAAACTGCTGTCACTCCCTCACTTAATCATATTTAGTTTTTAACAGGTTTTAATTCATGGTCAAAGTATTATTTCTGGGGATTATTATACCTGGCTAAAATAGAAAGAATCAAAGTTATAGAAAAAAATCATTTAGATAAAATGGCCGGTTGGCTCCATCAGGACTGTGCTGGAATGTGTGATAATATTGGATTGGCAGTGATCTGGCAACATAAACCACACACCAGTGGTCTTCACATTTTGACTAAAATGTTAAACTCTGGTCAGCGCACAGACATGCATTGCTTGAAGTCAGGAATTAAAGCAAGGACAAAGACACAAATACATAAATCTGCTAACAAATTTCTTTCAACTTGAGCAGAAAATAGTGTTCTCACGTGAAATCCCCTCACCTCACAAAATGGTTTTTCAAGGCTTTTAAGTAGTTCTGTCGTGTTCCTAGATCTGTGGAGGCCAACAGGCGACCCAGCCCCATCAAGACTCAGTCCACCTACAGGCCCACACCTCAACGCAAACCTCCACCCAGCCCCTCTGGAGCAGGCATTTATAAGGTGATGTAGTCTTTCCTGCATCTGTCACACACCTTGGCAAATGTGTGTAAAGTGCATTCATACACACCTATTTACTGAAAGATTTATTTTGTGTGCTCATTATGTCACAGGCCAGTTGATTTGATTTCTTCTGTAATAATACAGCCCTTCACTAATCTGCAGCCTAGCTTTGGTTTAGAGTTGCTGTGCTTCCAGGCTTGTTGACAAAACAAGTAATCAATCGGGTAATCAGTTCAGCATCATTATATCTCTCTTGAAAAAAAATATCAATCACGGTGCTATTGTTGATGGCAGAGAAACTTGAACTGAAAGATTGCTCCATTGAAATGAGACTCTGGATGTTATTTGAACTCCCATTTGTAATAAAAGGGTAATTTTTCTGAGATGGGAGTCGAGTTGATTGATTCAGACTGAGGAAGAAAATAGGTTTTGATTTGTTTGTTAGAAATGATGAGCACAAAGGAGGATAATTTATTCATGTATGACAAGCCAAAGGTACATGCATTTATGTGCATGAGTGTGTTTATGTGGATTCAATCCATGTTTGCACTGGCCTGTGTATAAAAGTCATATCTAATATCATGATAGATTTTAAAATTTTATCTTTAGTTGTGTATTGTCCACCAGAGAAAACGAGACGGTCCATTCTAATTACCGACCCTCTCAGCCGCTTGCTGATGTCCAGATGTCACTAAGCATCACAGCAGTTTTATTTGAATACATCTGCATTGTGTGTGTGTGTGTGTGTGTGTGTGTGTGTGTGTGTGTGTGTGTGTGTGTGTGCGTGTGTGTGTGTGTTTGTTTCCAGCAGCCAAATCCTTTCTGGCCATTTTAGGTGTTATTGGTTCGTTCAGAAGCGGAGGGGTAACAGCTGGTTAGGACATGTGGTCAGATTCTGGCATTTACAATTTCAATGTCATGTCTTATAATGTTATTTTCCAGTTTAATCACCGACTGACATCAGCCTTTTCACACTAATGAGAGTTTTATGACTAAAGTGGAATTGTACTTTTTATGCCTGAACATCATCATAATATCTCAAGTTAAAGTTTTTCAGTAATTAATAACCAAGGCAAGAGGTGAATGTGTGATTATTTTTGTGATCATTTGTTTGATTATTTTTTTCAAGTAATATTTTAAATGTTTTAATCAGGAAAATCTGTTGTTTTTTTTATTATTATTATTAAAAGAGACTCCACTTAAGAAGCATCAGGGTCAAAAAAGGCTAACAAGTGTGTTTGGATTCACTTGGGTATGTGAAGACCTGTGACAAAGGCCTGTACACTCCTGCCATCAGAGGTGACTCATCCATCCATCGATTTACATCCACTGGATCCTGGTGGCAAGGTGCTCAGACATCCCTTGCCCCAGCAACAGCCTCCAGCTTTCCTGGGGAACCTCAAGGGGTTCCCAGGCTAGATGAGATGTATACTTCCTCCAGTGTAATCAGGTTTTACCCCGGGGCGGAGGTGGTGGAGGTGTTTGTGTAGGACAGGGCACAGTGCAAACCAGGCAGCAGACAAGGTCGGGGACCTGGACGTGCCGATCCCTGGCATTAGACCGAGGGGCAGATGATACGTAACTGATGGAATTACTGAAAACAGCTTTCTTTCCTCCTCTTTTCAGCCATCTTTCCTGAGTGCGGAGCCTCTTCTCCCTCCGCACAACTTCCACTCTCACAGCCTGTGCAAACTGCCCCTCTACCAGCCCCTGCACATCAGCCAGCCCATACCAGTGTCGCTGAATGTGGGCCAGCCCATCCTGCCTCTTCTCCCAGCCCACCACAGGGTCCTGCCCGCCCACACGTCTCTCTCACCACCTCGGGCGCCACCTTTTCTCAGTCTGCCTCTCGAGCAGTCATCGTACAGAGTAGACCAGGTTTGCTTGCAAAAATGTTAACAAATGCTTTTATAAAAAAATTCTTTCTGGTTATACTGTCAGACTTGGATCACTATATGTTGGCTTATTCTGCAAAGTTTGCAGTTTTTTTCTTAGGCATAAATTGTTTTGTAATAGTTTACAGTGGAACTTGCCCTTTATAGTATATGGCATAGCCCATTAATATTTTAACACACATTATTCCTGGCCATAAATGCAAATACATGCCACAGATTCCTACATTGACTTTCTACTGCTTATCAATGCATTTGCAATAAAGTGTGAAAATAAACATGCTGAGATTTTAAGCTTGCTTGAAATAGGTCACAGTGTCAAAGTTACATTCTCACTGACATGTAATGATTCCTTGAGGGTGTGTTTAAAGGACACTCTGACATCTGACATTTGAGTCAGCTCCTATAAAAACATTGTAATTAGACCAAGTTGTTGAAAAACAATCTCGCTCTTCTGGAGGTTTCTGTCATTTCACATGAACTTCCTCAGCAGTTGAAGTTTGTCCATAAATTATGGAACTGTAGATGTTTAAATTTGAATTTTTCTCATAACTAAAGATTTCTCATCCATGTCACTTTAACTTGAGTTTCGAAATACATTCATGACCTTGTAAACAGTCGCTGACAAAACAATCTCTCCACGAGTTCTAATGTTGACAGCTGCTGCTTTCAAGCTCAAAGACATATGTTATCTGGAAATCAGAGCTGTGAAATAAATGACAAACAAGGATTTGATCATTTCTCAGATGTGACAGTTTCCTTGGGCACACAGATGGAGAGTTTTCAAATGGGTCCTGGCTCACGTTGCATTACTACATGACAGTAATGTAACGTGAACAATACATAAAGCAGAAAATATGTTTACTGTGATAAATTACCTATGTCAAGCAAAGTTTAAGTCTGTGATTTTCACACTGTATTGAACAAAAACCATGGAACGTAGCAAATCAATCAGAAAACCCAGGTGCTCTACACTAATGTGAATTAGATGCAAATTGTGGTTAATGGTGTAAAACCCATACAGCCATATGTGTGGTCATTTTTAAAGTGCTGGATACTGGGATTCACTGCATGTCTGCATTGCACCTGGCTTGCTTGCCCACATATCGACAGCAAAATGAAATCTCTCTCCCTCCCTGTGACCTAACTCCTGAGCAAGGTGCTGCTTTTTGCTGAGCCAACAGTATCGGATGCAGTGGAGAGAGTAAATCCATCTGTTTGCTACAATAGTGGATACAAAACCTGATCGTTTCATATGCCAGCACGGCAATGGGAGTTGTGCTGGATGCTGGCACTCTCTGGGCCACAGCAGGGCACACAGGCAGATGATTAGCTGTGAGATGTGACACTTTTTCTCTGTTAAAGAGTAGAACATTGTCCCAGGTGTGAAGCCAGAGTTTGAAGCACTTGGAGAAAGGCATGTAGTGTAACTTCTTATTCCCACAAGGTTAATCATTTAGGTGAGCATTGGATCCAGGATTTTTTTTTTTTTTAAAGGATTCTTCATCATTGTGGGTTAGTGACCAATTTCAGTATTTTTGCATCTAACTCTACAAATAGATTACAGCGCTTGGCAACAAATTGCAAGATAATATCAACATGAGATCTATCACATACCAATTTTTTTATCTTGACCCAAGTAATATTCTGGATGTGTGATGCAGAATGTTCAAATTATAGGGCTCATGGAAAGCTCAACAAATAATGTTATAGACTTGCAACTAAGATCAAATTCTAATTTGACATATCTTCACAAGTTACTGAGCTAGATCCAGAAGAAAATGGCCATTAATGAATTATGTTTTTTTAGAATAACTTTCAAATTACCAATGATATCAGTGTGATTCCAAATACAAGGGGTAGGTCTTCATGGTCAAGGAATCATATTGTGAAGGTCAAACGTTCATAAGAAAACTGCTTTTAGGTGTAATGGCCTGTATAGGGACAGTGATCCGCCTTGGCAGAGGTTTGCGGTCTCCGAGTGCTGTCTAGTTGTATTTGTACTTAACTGGCATCATATCCAGTTGTGGATAGTTTTATGGTGTCCTGCATATCACCATTGATCGCTATGGATGTGCACCGGCTGGAGATACACTTTAGCTCAATGCCTCTGTTTGCTTTATAAATGGGCTACTCGCTGGCCTGCCAAAACAATGAAACCCTGCTACCTGCCAATATATACTAGCTCATTTTACTGTAATGAAACAGATGGAGGGAGTAGAGATGGCACATGTAGGTCAGAAACAGAAGAAGAGATTCAGTTAAGATTTAATAACAGACAAGCAAGGACATACAGTGCATCAGTCCTTGAAGAGAAAGTGTATTACAAGATCGTTTTAATACTTGACATAACCTTCCCTGCTGTCTGTGCCAATATGTCTTATTGTACCAGACCTTTTTGCAGGCTATCCCATGCCTATGTGCCGACTGCACCCCATTAATGTCAAGGTGATTCCAGGGGAATCCTGCATTTATACGTGAAAAGAAAACAATATGAGAGCTGAGAATTTTCACAAACAGGTCTGAAGGAAAATTTTATGTTGGATACCTGTAGTGTCAATAAATGTGAAGTAAATAAGCTCTGATCCTGTTCAGGTGCTTTCTAAAGCAGACTGCAGCATCACACTGCTGAGGGGTGAAAATCATGCCTTTCCTGACGCCGTGTTTTCAGGAACTTTGAAAAATAGCTTTGTTTTTGGCCAGACATCCTCACATTTTTCCAGTTCCTCCGGTGGATTTTGAAAGGTGCTTGTAAGTCCAAGGCTCATACATCTTATTTAGGCCACAGAGGACAGTACAATCCTTCATTTTGAATTAAGATATGTGAACACCTCCAAGAATGCAGTTATAGTGTGAGGTTTTCTGCCAAGAGCGACATTAGAAAGCACATGGGTCCTGGATTATTCTTGCATTCCAAGCAGTGCATCTGTGCATTTACATCTTTGTTTTCCTCTGCGTATCTTTGAGAAACAGCCCAATTTTCTGTGTTTGTGGGGAGGGAAAACTAAACCACCTGTAATTTACACATTAGGAGATTGTCATCCTTAAAGTTCACAGTGGGTGGTACACTGTATCTGAAAGTCTGTCAAATCCTCCCTTAGTGTGTAAATCTTATTAGCCCTAAACAAGTAAAAACAGTGTCTACACGGGGCTGTAATGTAGATTCAGCATAAAACAGGCCTGCTGTGCTGTTAACACAGATCAATCATATTAAAGCATCATAACATTTCAAACTCTGTGGGGCATCTGAGGAGCTTTTGGGCTGTTGTCTGCAGAGAATTTAACTAATTTTGAGTTTGTAAAAACATTTATTCCTCAATAAAGTGGCTGGTGCTGTGCACCATAGTTAATGGAAACTATTTCATATAACATTATTATTATTTTAGTTTTAACCACTTTTACCAACTACCTGTAGGCATATAATATACTAAAGTGTAACTTGTGCTACGTATAAGGGAGTAGTACATTGGCTGTATTTCATAATCAGCAACAGTTAATCAGTATTTTGATAATCAGTAATACTTTACAATCGTTATTTACATACTGTATCTTTGGTTTTGGACTTTTGGCTGGATAAAACAAGCTATTTGAAGATGCCAGCTTTGGCTGTGGGAAGAACAGTGGTCCTTAGGTTGCTTTTTAGTCAGAATGTTGGTACCTGGGGCCCTAATCATTAAAACGTGTATTTGGATTGGGGTGTCTACAAACTTTTGCCATATACAGTAGTGAAGACGTGAAAAACACAACATACTATAATATGATAATCTATCCTTTTAGAGGTTATTTAGTTACCCAGGCATCTCCTTCATTGGGGGAAACTTTGCTCCTCTGGGTGACACAGCACTGAACACAGGTTTATAACTTTATACTGATGTGACAAACTCAGTTACATCTTGGCTGCATTCATGAATGTTTTAAACTTTTTAGCTCTTTGAGTCTTATCAATGTATAATGTGGCAAACCTTTTTTTTTTCTTCTTGGGGAACATATACTGTAGGCATACATGTGTGATGGTAGCCAGGCATCTGTAGGCAGATGTTTATTGCTGCCTCACCTCCTTGCTAGAGATTAGTAATACATGATGGCAACTCATTTGGATGACCTACACTCATGCAGCACTGCCACTGAGGTGGTGGAGGAGCAGAGGAAGTAAGGATTCATCTTATGTTAGCTGTGGGAATTCAGAGAAGATACTGGGAACACACTGCCCTCTAGTGAAATGTCTTCAAATATCTTCTGTGTGTCTAATCTATATTTAAAGATGATAAGCTATATTATCCAGGTTCCCATTCATCGTGTCTCAAGATGAGAGTAATGTGCTTTGTGGTGTTTTTTTTTTTCTTTCAAATGAGTCCGTTAGAAAATAGCATACAAGTAAACTGACCTGATGGACTGAAAAGTCAATTTCTTCTTCTTCTTCTTCAGGACTTTCAGAAGCCCAGTCCACCCCAGAGACCTCTACCTGCAGACCCACTAGGGAGGAGCTCTCGGCTGGGTCATAGTACCACAGCAGCAGGGGTCCACATCCTTGGAACTGGACCCATCCCCATACCTATCCCCACTGTGCCCAGACCTCCACCCACCATCCCTTTGCCCAGCAGGTCAGTGCAACACAACAGGGATCGTACATCCATAAAGCCCCTTTCACACACAGAATACATAATACTGCGGCTTCATCTGTCTGTTAAAGTCACAGGTTTAATGTATTTGTCCAGTACAAAATTGTTACAGCTTTATTCAGACATGAATCATGAGAGGATGTTTATGGAAAGGACCAAATTGCTTCCTCGATGTGGAAGGGAAGTAGAAGTGTTTTCTGTTCTGTCACAGGCTGAATCAGCAGTGACTTTCAACTTATTTTTTCACTGTTGGTTTACTCCACTTGGGAGTGCCGGTGTGATCATGACTGTGGTTATACAAGGGCTTTTTTTAAAACCTGTTTTGCTCCACATCACAAGGGGGAAATATTTTTAGCCTGATCTCAGAAAAACCCTTCATTTGCAGTGCTTGCTGGTTTATTAAATCAATGTTATTGTCTTTGTGTCATAGTTAAGTGACAGATTTAGTACACTGTTCTTCATCCTGTAAGGCAAACAAGACATTAAGTGCTAAATGGACTTGTATAGTGCTTTTCTATGCACTGAAGCACACTCAAAGTGCTTTATACTATTTGATCATTCACCCATTTGCACATACAAACATTCACACACTCATTCACCAGGAGCAACTTGGGGTTTAGAATCTTGCCCAGTGACACTTTGGCATGTGAACTGGAGAAGCCGAGGATCGAACTGCCAGCCCACTCTACATCTTGAGTTACAGCTGCCCCAGAATGTACATTTAATATCTGTGTTTAACATTGTGCTGCTGTAGCTTTTACATTATTATTGTTGACCATTAACGAGACCAGCATGTTAAATTGCCATCACATTAACAAGGAAAAAAAAAGGTGCATGTCTGAAAGGAGATTTTCTTGCATTAGAAAAACATGCACACTAACATTTTATTTTGACTCCTGAAATGACAATGTATTCATGCTTTTGTTTACATTTCAGACCTGTGCCGGTGTTGCCCTACAGACCACCAAAGGCTCATAAGGACTGCTGAGCTCTTTGACATCATGAACGAGTAGATCTTTTACCAACAGATGGAGACTTTCTTGATTTGCACTAATTGCCGAGACTGTAAGAGCTTTCGAACAGTTAAAAGTGTCACAGAGCTTCTAATGAAAGGGGCCTAACATCAGAACTCTGTGCTATGCCTCTAAAAGGTGCTTTGTTGTTGTCGCTCAGGTACCAATGAACTATTTATCTATTTAACTATTTAACTTTGATTTGACCAGTTTGTGCACAGAACACTCTGACCAAGAGTGATTTTCCCCATGGACAAGTTTAGAAGTTTGTCATATGCATTCTTTGTTGATTTTTATATACATTTTTTTTCCTCAAATGAAATGCTGAAATGTTTTTTAAAACCACTGAAGTTGCTTGAATGAAGCACAACTCGGCAAATACATGTTTTATGCTGTCATGGTGCTGAAAAATTGATATTCATCAAATCATTTTTCTTAAATAAAATGACAACAGCTTTAGGCTAGGCTCCATGATCCATATTGAAATAGTTGAACTCGTATTAAAGCCCCAGACTGTGGCATTATCCGATCAGCTCATTTTACAGTCTCACAGTCAGGCTTCTTTATTCCCTTATAAGTTCACTTTTGCAGTGAAGTACAAACAGGAAGGTACTTTTCACACATTTTAGACTGACACACTGCTCGGGGCATGTGTTGGATGCCCCACGTGTTCTCTGGATGTTGGCATACGCTGCAGAGGCCCAGATTTGACAGATTGTGTTCCAGAGAATTACAGCAACACCAAATACTCCCACATTAACTCTGGTGTTTGTATGTTTAACAGTAACGTTCACTTTGTCCTCAATTGTGCGAGCCAGGGAGAATGACTTCAGTGCTGCAAGCTTTCCAAGTCCTTCCTCAGCTGTGTCCAACATGATGTTTTCCCATATCTGTCCTGTGTTTTTTTTTTGTTTTGTTTTGGGTTTTTTTGCCTTGATAATATTCCATTTGGATTCTATTCATGCATTCATGGCATCATTTATTGGAATCAGAGCTTGGCGTTGTACTTTGAGTTAAGCGCTTTCCTTGATGTTATTTGTTGTCAAATTGCTGTTAAACAAGGGGGGAATTCAACTGTTAAATAGTTTATAGCACAGTTTTTTTTTCCTGTGTCAGTGTTCACTTTGGATCATGCGTTTTGTATTTGCAGTGTATCTAAATGCAGTGCTTTTCTTTTTATCAGTGCAGAATGATTGAGGTCAATGAAGCCCTGCATACTGCACCTGTGTACATTAAGTGTGCGGAAGTTGACAGAGTAACTGCTCCCTGGTGGAAATAATTTGTTATTGCCGTGTGGATTAGTCGTTAGTCGTTATGTTTATGCCATCTGTAAATCCTAAATGTACCATGTTTATTTGCATAACTGTAACAAAAGCCATTGTAAAGTGTAAATATTGTATGTCAATTATAATTTCTCTTCAGTTTTTTTTTTTTTGTTTGTTTCTTTTTACAAGAACTGTAATATAAGAACTGCTTTGAGACCACGGCCCTTTTTACATTGGATGGTGAAAACATGAATTGGAAATGTTCACTCTTAAGCTTTAGGCCAGAAACAAATGTTTCAGGACATCATTTAAACTGAGAGATTTTACTGGTGAAGTCAGAGCAAAATAAAAGTTCCTGAAGATTGTTTAAAAGTCATTTTTATTTCATTTTCACTATACTTAGCTTTAGAGAAACCAAACAAGATAAACCAGGACTCATGAGGAAAGGGATGTTCACCATATGATGAATATGAATAATTAATTGACACCATAATATCTGCTTTTATTTGGACATAGATGAACATGTATCACCTTCCTGTATTTAAAAAAAAACACAACACTTAGAACATTAATGCAAATGAGAAAAAAATGACTGACAAAAATACAGTAAGTGTGTCAAGATATAAGAATTTCTTGTCTCCTCTAATGGTTTAACACTGCCACCTGTCAGACAATACTGGTCATTACATCACTGAGGCACTTCCCTCTCTTCAGTTTTCTCTTTATCTTGGCTTAACGTGCTCCTCAAACCAAAGGATGAAGTTGCCCTTGAGTCCTGATTAAGGATCAGCTCCCCCAATGTTTGTTAACTTAGACCACTGGGAACAAATGCAAAACAGAAAAAAACCTTAATGTTGATGTAAACTAAACTTGAATTGTACTCATTTTGTTGCCCTTATCGAGCATTGTTGTCTCATTCACATGGAACCTCGACAAATTGTCCACTATGTGTGTGAACTCAGACACATACATAGTGCGTCTCTGAGTGCCCCTCTGTTACATACAGAGCTTGCAGTCAGGATATTGTCAGCATTTATCTTAAAATATCTCCAAGTATGAGTTTTTTTTTGTTTTGTTTTGTTTTGTTTTTTGGGGTTTAATTCTACAGGTGAAAAACTGGTTTGTAGGTGTAGCAACACTGTGGAGGAACAAACATTTGGGCTATCCTCTTAGTTTAACAGGTCTTCATTTTCTGCCACGTTTGTTGGTCCTCAGATGTAGAAATTAATTATCTCAGTCTGTCAACCACTGAGAAAATCTATTTCTAAATTACCTCATTAAACCATAGTTGATAAATAAATGTGTTTTACGCTATGTGGCCCCTGTGTGTGAGCCAGTTCTTATTGTAAACACCAGACCCCTCTGAATTTCTATCTATGTCTGTTCTGACACTACTCTTTGTGTGTGTGTGTGTGTGTGTGTCATCTGTTGATGAAGGCACTTCTATGGGATTAGTGGCCACATGGCAACACTGGGCTGGCCGCCTAGTGAGCCTTTCATTTGGCTTCACTTGCAGAGGCGGTCTGTGTGCTGTCCAACAGTTTACTGAGAGCTGGAGATTTCCAAACTTCATTCCTGTCGATCTGTAAATGAAGACTAAACTGGACAGACTGGGAGCTCTCTTGTGATGGCACAGGACGTTACCAGTTTAAGTGGAGAGGATCGCTTTGAGAGAAAATCCCCCTGTTGTTCAGACATAGAAGCTTTGAGTCAAGGAGACAGAGTATGGTGATATTTTGGAGCTTAATCGGTTTGATGGACTGCCTTATTCCTCCAGCTTTTACAAATTGCTGAAAGAAAGAAAGAAAAAAAGCTGCCAGTGTGGAAAGTAAAGTGTGAATTCATGGACACATTTACCAAAGGACAGTTTGTCATTGTCAGTGGCTCCGCTAAAACTGGGAGGAGTTCTCAAGTGAGTACTATGGTAACACTTGACACTTTAGGTTGTGTGGCCATGGGAAATATTGTATATTTCATTCATGCAGCAGCAGATTCAACCTTGTTACAGGGAGATATTCTTACTATCAGCTTCTGTGATGTAAACAACTTATCTCTTAATTTGAATCAGATTCCCCAGTGGTGTGCTGAATTCTGCCTGTCAGTCGAGTTCCAGCATGGCATGGTGGTTTGTACCCAGATTCATGAGCAGCAGGCGATAGATCTCGCTTTAAGAGTGGCTGTTGAAATGGATGTCAACATTGGCCATGAAGTTGGTTACAGCATCCCTTTGGAAACATGCTGCACTAATGACACAGTCCTCAGGTATGTTAAAACAGTATTCCCTACTTACACAGATGTAACCTCTGTTTCTCCTGCTGGGTTACAATAATGCATAGTCTTGACACACACAGCTAAATCACCCCGCCCTTCCTCATTCTCAAGAGAGAAGTGAACAAAAGGTTTGAGGGGGGCTCTTTTCAAGGGCTCTTCCACAGCTGCCTGGCTCCCCGTCCACCCATATGTCACACTGCCTCATGTGGGTCCCTCATAAGTCAGCTAGGGAACAAAGGAACTCAGCACATTAAGGGGAGGGAAACGAGATAAACAAGCAGCCAGTAGGTATGAAAGGATTAATTTCCCAGACTAATTATCAGAGTAAATTACACTAACAGGGGCAAGGCTGAAGTGTAGATAAAGTGCCTTTCATTAAGATGCCACTCTGAGGTGTGCTGAATGGATTTCCTGAACATGCTTTTCCACTGTTTCAGCCTAGAGACTTAAAATTAAAGAATCCTGAGGATTTATTTCAGGCTTTATGAATTTGAATACCATGTGTGTCAAGTACCTGTGTGTTTTAAACCCAAGCATCCTTTTATCACCCTCCACAGGTAATGCACAGATGGCACACTGCTGAGAGAGATGGTGTCAGACCCTTTGCTTGAGCGTTACGGTGTGGTAGTTGTGGACCAGACCAACCAGAGGACCTTAGCCACTGATGTGCTCCAGGGTCTGCTGAAGGAGATCGCACAACAGAGGCCAGAGCTCCATGTGGTCCTCCTGACAGCCATTGAGCCCACAAGCAAGCAGCTGGCCCACTTCTCTGGGTCAGCAGTGCCTGTGATCCATCTGGAGAGTCCAGGTGCAGGGGAGGTGGTGTTCAGCAGCACAGGTGACAGCTACTTCTGCTCTGCTCTCAGTCTGGTGCTGGAGATCCATCAGTCTGAAGAGGGAGGAGATGTGGTTGTATTTCTGGTGACAAGACCGGTAAAAAAAAAAAATAAATAAAAAAAATCCAGTCTTCCTCTAACAGTCTTCTTTGTTTACCCACTAACAGGAAATAGATCTGGCCCATGACATCCTGTGTCATGAGGGGTGCAGCTTACCCCCTGATTTGGGCGAGCTCCTGCCTGTGGCTGTGCAGCCTGGAAATCTACCAATCCTGGGGGAGGAGGACACAGGCCCAACCCGCAGAGTATTCAAATGAGGACCTCTTCTGGGCTGTTAGCTCAATAAGTTTTGTCATTGATGCCAGGCTTGAGAAAAGATGTGCAAGTTAATCCTTATTTTTTGTGAGTGATTAAATACCTCCTAAGCTTTTAATTCTTGAGGTCCAGGGTGTGCATCAAAACAATCAGCAAAACATGAACGCCTTTGTAGCTGTTTGAACAGCAAATAGTCACTAAAAGTAATATTTTAATGTATCTAACTTTATTACTTTATATATTCTTGGGTAGTTTAATCAGTAATAATACATTGTTTTATAAGTTAATCATACATTTTGTACGTCAAATCTTATTCTGCAAAGTGACCACTGACTATCACATAAATATGGTGAAGGAAAGGGTAAAATATTTGCCTCTGAAATGTAGAAAAAATATTAAGCAATTGAATAAATGTGCTTGGTTATATTCAACCACTGTGTTTCTATGGCAGGTTTACAACCCCAGGATCAGAACAAACTCTGTCACAATTCGACCAATGAGCACAGGTCAAGCCACGAGTCGCAGACAGCTGGTAGGTTCAACAGGTGAGGGGTTAAACCGTTCTGAAGCATGTTTGTTGATGTAAATCTTTGCCGAGTCCTTGCTGCTATCCTATCTAAAAAGAATCTTTCTGTCCAGTAGGC